AGGTCCCTTCCAACCCAAAGCATTCTGTGATTCTATGATGAACTGCAACAGGAGCTGGACCAAAGACCCAGCTGTGGATCAAATTAGCTCTGAGATAACCAAATTCACTCTTTCAGCTAAGCTGCGAGATGATGAGTCAGAAACCGCAGTTATGTCCAAAAGTGAGGCAGCAGGGCTCCAGGCCACACGCTGTGCTTGCTCTGAAGGATGGAGAGGCAGATAAGCATAGGGAGTCCTACTATAACAAAAGCACTTTTCTAAAGTGAACATGTAGCACTGAAAAGTCACTATGAAGAATCACAAGGAGACACATTCATTTAAAATATCTATTGAAATTACAAATTAAACTCTTCAATATGATTCAAAGTACAAAACACAACATTAAAAGGCATTCAACAGCTCTTTTATACATCACAGTGTTAGTGGCACAAAATGTACTTACATTTCAAATACATCAACAGAACTATTTTTACACTGGTCAAATACATTATTTATACATACGCATGACTCCTTCATGCTTATCCCTATACAAGTTTAAAATATATCCATGATAAAATGATCAAGAAAGGTTCAGTTACGTACCACGTACCTGTACCTAAAGTTCCTGGAATTCTTACAAGAGAGATACACAAATCAAAGCAATAATGAAGACCACAGGGCTCTAAACACAAACAGCATGCCTTACTTAGTATAAGTGCATTAGCAATTAAGCACTGATGCAGGCTTTTTTGATATCTTTAAATATCACTGTCATGAAAAACCGTATTCTATCTGTTTTCCTCAGGATTTTAGATTATGTATGTGAAATGTACAAACTTTGGTTTTAAAAAAGCAAACCTGCACAAAGCTTTATGCATGCTGCACCTCACTGGGATGAGAACAGCCTGTATTAAATATATTTATTCCTATACAGTAAAAGACCTACAGATGAAATGCACAAAACTTCATTTTTATTTTCCTGCCCATAACAAATTTAAATCAAAAGCACTTAATCTTTTTCTGATCAATGAATATTTTATCCTGTCAGCTCCATAAACAAGAGAGCTTTTCACTGATTTTAACTGTGTTTCCTGCATGTCAGGAGATCAACTGTTAAGCTGAGAGTGGATCCAGTCAGTTCTTATTTGGGATTTTGCCTAATTCATAAGACAGAGTATTTGAGGAAAGATCATGCTGCTTGGTATGTGGGGAAAGCATCCCAAGTTCTTGGCATGCTAAAGTCAGTAGTAGGAGGTTTCAGGAAGAATGCCAACATGAATAAAATTGGAATATTAACATAAAACTACAGTAAGCATTTATATGTAATCTTTCATCACAAAATCTTGAAGAGCTTCAAAACCAATGAATTTGCCCTCACAGCCCTCCTGTGAGGTAGGTAAACAATGGTCCATCCATGTAAAAATGGTTAAATTGAGATAAGAGGAGATAAGTGACTTGTCTGTTGTCACGTGCGGAAAAACTCAATGCTCCTGCCACTGAAGTCGGTGCAGGCTATGCTGCTGATCTCTCTCAGGTCTGACTTCAGTTCCACTAATGAACGGCAAGTCTAGGGAGACGCAAAGCCTCTGGAGTCTGGACTCCACACTCAGTCCCATGCTCACTAGACAGGACACCACTTTACCCCAACAGAACATGCAAATGATGTACTGTTAAAAACTCCATTAAAAACAGCATTTAAGACAATGCAAAAAACCTAAATAATAGCATAACCATAAAAACACAACAGAAATCATGCAGTGAATCTTATTTTTCTGGTGAAAATCTAAAAAGCCAAAGTTGTTGTAACAGAATTTCATCCGAAAAGCAGCAGGGACAAACGTTTGCTTTTCCATGGCAGGGGGTTTAAATGTCAGAGTTTAAAATGGTGTATTTACAATTCAATTTCAGGGTATTAAATGTCATACTATCATCACAAGCTGTAACATAAAAACATCCCAAACTCAATACATCACCAACAGAAGTTGCTACTTTGGAAACAAAACAGCATTTAAAAAAAAAAAAAACCACCAAACCCCAAAAAACCCCCAAGAAGAATACAGATGGAATGACATTTAGCAAACCTGAAAGGTATTTGGTAAATATATGAAGGCATATAGTCTATACCAACAGCCAGGATTTGAAACAAGAGATATGTCATAAAAATCTCCAGTAGCAATTCAAGTATGTTGAGATCAGAGATATACTGACAGAAGTACAGAGTTTTCTGATTATACATAATGCTACCTGTGAGCATTAATTATAAACTGTAACTTAAAAATGTCCGTATTTGTAAAGGAATTCTTTCTCTTGCCTTTTTTTTTTTAAATCTGAAAATGCATTAATTTTGACATTGATTATTAACTGGCCACACAGTACCACGGAAAACTCAAGTTTTGCTATATTGCCACACAGAGGCTGTCTCGAAGAAAGGCACAGAGAAAATAAACCTCATACCAGGACACTCCAGTACCGTTAACAGGCCACTGCACCTCTGCTGTTCCCTATCATCACAGTAGTAGAATTGGTCATTAGAGCCACTGCCACATACAACAAAATCCCTTAGTGCTCCCAATTAGAAAATTAACAACCCATGAAATCTTTATGTCTTGTAGTCCATTTTTTTTTTTCCTCCAGTTAAATAGAATTACAGGGTCAAGGATGAAAGGTCATAGTTTAAGCTTACCTGCAGGAAGCTGTCCTTCGCAGAAGGGTTTCCATGACTTCTGCACACTGAAGCTATGACTTAGGACAAGGCAGGTGCTTGGCTTAGGGCACCTCTGGGGAGATGGACCGAGCTGCTGCCAGACACGGAGTGAGATAACCACTTCGCTGCCCGCTGAACTCGGCGGTGCTTCACACCCCCCCGGGGGCTGGCAAACAGTGATCGAATGCACCATCCAGACCTTCCTACAGATATTTTTGAACAACTAAGCAACTTCTAATAACAAAGATAGCTAAAATACTAAAAAAACTGCGGTAACAAAAACAGGTATTACAAGTAAAGATCTGAACTGTGCTTTGCCGTAAACAATCTGAAGAAATCACAAGGAGTTCAGACTTGCTGGAAACCAGCTATCGTTTTTCTTCATGTTATAATGGCCAAACTCATTAAAATCAAGCCAAATAAGTGAATTGCAGATAACCTCCAGCTCCCAGAGCTAAAATCTGTGGTTAGATACAGTTTGAATTTGAATACTCTTATTAAACTTGGAAGAAGGGGGAGGAGAAGAAATTCAAGAGTAGTTTTATAAAAAGACAGTGTCCCTTTTCAAAATTGTACCCTACAGTCTTTTTATTTAACAGACAGACAGTATAAAACAAAAGATAATAAAGAAAGGAGTAATTTCCTTAAACTTGAGCTATGAAACCACATTCCCAGCCTGTGACAGCAGCCAGGAACAGTTGCATTTAAGGGTCTTAATACATTTCAGTGCAAAGTTATCCTGGCTTCAACATATTCATCCACCTCAGTACATTGATAATGCACAGAAATAAATGATGACAAAAAAAAAAATGCAGTCAAACTTCAGTCCACAAGCCATTCAAAAAGAACTTTTTCCTTCAGTACTACACACAGACATACACACTGTTTTGGATGCTTCATATTTCATGGGAAGAAGTTATTAGTCAAATTCTTGTAGGCTTTAAAATGAGAGCAAAATGGTTTTTAACAAAATATTTCTAAAGAGAAATTACAATGATTAATAGTATGTTGACTAGCACGCTTTACTACCCTGGAAACAGCACTGTGAATTACGCAAAACTATCAAATCAAGTTAAGTGATTATTTTTCAAATGAAAACTTCTTTTGTCACAGCATTGTTATTAACAGCATACATCATACATTATACGACATTAACTCTGAAAATGGGCTAAGTAGCTTAAATGTAAAGTACAACTTCCACAAATATCCCAGGCATTTTTATTATTAACTACAGGGATAACCCTGATGTATTTTTGTACTTAAAAGGAAAGATTCATTGATAACCCAAGAGTCTGCTAAATAGTAAAGTTAGTCCTGTATTTTTCAATAATTGCCCTAAAGACAGAAGCAAGCTATCTTGAACTTCCAAAATATTTCAGTAGCACAGCTATTTACACATTTGGTTTAAATAGGATTTTTTATATATATATATCTCTCTATATAAAAAGATTAAGATACCTGGATTAGAAGTTACATAGCCCTGTAAGTGTAGCAGAACCCTAAACAAAGCAAAAAATAACAATTCAGAAAAACACTAGTGGTCCAGCGGTAATCAATACCATCAATGCATTTTTAAAAGAACCTTGATTAGATAGCAGGTTTGTGTCACCACTCAACCTTACAGCTTCACTAATTCGTTTTTAAAATGTAGCTTTCAATCAAACAAATTTCTTGTAAGACTTCAAAAAATTCCTGGAAGGCAACAGGACCAACTTTGTCCTTCTAACCCTCCCCAAATTTCAAGAAAGGCATAGGATGGCCTATATGCACCGTACTGATTTTGTTATACTTGGAAAAATAGGTACTAAAAAGTACATTGTGATGGCTTTAACAAAAACTGATGTGTAATAAACATGGTAAAATCACACTAAGTTGACTATCTGATTTAAATGACAGGCAACTTAAAAATACAGAGGAATAAGACACCAAATTTTGAAGCGAATGGATATGCAGAAAGTTAAGATTTGTATGCGTTTTTAGCTTGTTTTGCTGATGTCATTCAGCACAGTTCCCAGTCCACAGGCAGGGCATCAGAAACTTTTTGCACTATTTTTAGCAGTATCACCTCTTCATTTCAGATAGCTACCTGGGTCCATGGTCTCCCTTTAGCACCAAACTTGCCTTCCATTACCCTCTTTGTCTATTTTCAATTGATCAATGCAACAGTAGTAACAACAGGTCCTGGAACCAAGACTGTGTGTCAATGAAAAGCAGAACAGGGCAAGTAAGGCTACAGCAATGTAAGTGCAAGGGGTAAGCATCAACAGCAACAATAAAATCAAAACACATGTTGTGATGAGTCCAGTCTTCTCTCAGTCTAGGTAGGTAGAGGGTCATCATCTCCTTTATTACATTTGCACTTGCAGCACAGAACAAATGGTGTAGCAAGTAGAAGGAAAGGGGAGGCCACCAAAAGTAGAAGACCAAATCCTGCAAAAATTCCTACCACCTGCAAGAGAAAGGAATAGCATTGCATTAGGGATAACAATTGTCTAGGTTCTGCTGACACCAGTACATCATCCGTGTCCTTCAAAAGGATCTCAGCAAATGCCATTGACCTTACCAGACCCAGGACTTCCCCCCAAGTGCACGCTACAGTCAGCTCCTGAGATCAGTAAACGTGAGTGAAATCAGAGAGCGAACGTTCATGTTTCATTGCTCCAGTCAGAACCACGCCACACAACTCAGTCCCATTACACAAAGCGATGCAGATGGTTATTTGCCTTTTTGAGTTTTGCTATATCTCAAAGAACTAATGAAGCAACTGATTAGGTATTTCTTGATCAAACCTAAATATTAAATATCAGGATCAAGACTACAAGAGTTAGAGACTCCCACTTTCAGGTCCTCCCCTTTTTGCTGGAGAAAGCTCCAAGGCCGAGCCAATCAGCGATGGTGGTAGCGCCTCTGGGATAACATATTTAAGAAAGGGGGAAAAAGAAAAAAAAAACAACCCGGAACAAGTGCAGCCAGAGTGAGGAGTGAGAATATGTGAGAGGAACAACCCTGCAGACACCAAGGTCAGTGAAGAAGGAGGGGAGGAGGTGCTCCAGGCACCGGAGCAGAGATTCCCCTGCAGCCCCTGGTGCAGACCATGGTGAGGCAGCTGTGTCCCTGCAGCCCATGGAGGTCCACGGAGCAGATATCCACCTGCAGCCTGGGGAGGACCCCACACCAGAGCAGGTGGATGCCCACCTATGACCCCATGGGAAGCCCCCGCTGGAGCAGGCTCCTGGCAGGACCTGTGGACCCATGGAGAGAGGAGCCCACACCGGAGCAGGTTTGCTGGCAGGACTTGTGACCCTGTGGGGGACCCACGCTGGAGCAGTCTGCTCCTGAAGGACTGCACCCCATGGAAGGGACCCACACTGGAGCAGTTCATGAAGAACTGTAGCCTGTGGGAAGACCCCACATTGCAGAAGTTCACGGAGGACTGTCTTCTGTGGGAGGGACCCCATGCTGGAGCAGGGGAAGAGTGTGAGGAGTCCTCCTTTGAGGAGGAAGAAGCAGCAGGGATGTGTGATGAGCTGACCACACCCACCATTCCCCATCCCCCTGCGCCGCTGGCGAGGAGAAAGTAGAGAAAAACAGGAGTGAAGTTGAGCCTGGGAAGAAAGGAGGGGTGGGGGGAATGTGTTTTAAGATTTGGTTTTACTTCTCATTACCCTACTCAGTTTCAATTGGTAATAAATTAAACTGATTTCCCCAAGTCGAGTCTGCTTTGCCCGTGATGGTAATTGCTGAGTGATCTCTCCCTCTCCTTACCTTGACCCACAAGCTTTTTCATTATATTTTCTCTCCCATGTCCAGTTGAGAAGCAGAGTGACAGAGCGGCTTTGGTGGGCACTTGGCATCCAGCCAGGGTCAACCCACCACAAGGTGGTTTTTTTCACTGACGTTTATTGATCACCCTCTTCCCGGTATGGGCAGAGGACCACAGACCTACCCATTCTGTCAGTGTGCCAAACTCTATTAGTTTCTACATAGTTTAAATTTGGAAAATTATTAAAAAAACATTCAAGTTGAGGTTCATTTCCTCCGGAAGTTTCCCATTTGCCACAGGCAACCGTAAGGGTAATGCTGCAACAATATGCTCGCAAATTATTTGAGAAAATAATTCAGATTTATTCAGGGGAGAGTGTCTGTGAATAGTTTTGAATAATGAAAGCAGGAGTGGAATGCTAATCTGCTAGCAAAACCTCACAACAGAAGGCAAAAATAAATTAAGAGTGCAATTCTCATTACGAATTCTTCTAGCCAGGGCTAGATAAGCCGCTTCAATTAGTTGGCAAATATTTAATTAGCCATGGTATAGATGGGATGATTTAATAGTACTTTTGTCGGCCACGGACAATTTCTCGTTCTGATTACTATGTATTTCTTTTTGCAATTCCACTATCCAGGGATTTTCAGAAGAGGGGCTGAGAGGAAAGGCTGGTTGCAGGAGATGGCGCTGTGGGATAGCAGTCACCACCCTCAGACTGCCTCCTACTACGCCAAATTCTTTCAATCTTGGATTTTGGCTGTCTGGGGATAAAGATCTCAAACTTCCTTGCCCTAACAATTTTATTTCTTGCCAAGAGCAATCTCTTTTTCAGCTTCAGAGGTGTACACATTTCATGACTCATTCTTTTTTTGGAGGTGCTGACTATCTGATGCAACTTCCATTTACTAATCTTTGTATTTATTTACTACAGACATAAACCAAAGCTAAATTCTCATCTCCTTTAAAAACTGTGAGCTGCAACTATTGCCATACTGCTCTTTGGAAACAGCATGCCCTTGCCTAGCTTTCTGCAGCCCAGACTAAGAGTGCACTGGTCAGATAGAGCCAAGCTGAAAATGAGCAATTCAGTGGACTGGATTGACTACTGCTGATTTTTATGACATATCTATTTACACTTTCCTTTCAGCCTCCGTATAGCAAAGAACTCATTAAGTTTCATTTTGTTTGGGGTTTTTTTTTGTTGTTGTTGTTTATTTTGGGGTTTTTTTGTGGGTTTTTTTGTTTGTTTGGTTTTTAAACAAAACTGCCTGCTGAGTATTACTTACTTGTTTTCTACTTGGTTCTGTAGCTTCTGAAGAAGTTGCTGCCCTACCCAGCATCAAGCCATTCCCTCTGGCCAAAACAAGTATTTTTTTTAAATCCACAAACAACAAAACAAAGGCTCACCTCAATTTGCCTTGGATAAATACTGAAAGCAACTTAACATAAGGAAACGATTGCAATGTTGATTTGGCTTTAGTGGGTTTAGTCAAATTATATCCTAATTGGTGGAGAATTATCACTTTCTTTCTCAACAATGACCAGAACATCAAACATACTGTCTATCAAACGTATTTGCACTAACTGCTGTGGCTAAGAACAGATTCCAAATATCAGATTACAGGTATATCAAGAAAGCTCATGTACCCAAACACTTCCTAAGATACCATTGCAAAACCCAGTCCATAGCTCAGGCACCCAGGAGTGTATGTGGAGGGAGGGGTGTGATTCTTCTCCTTTTATTTCAGTTTAGCTGTTTGTCCAGACTTGGTGTTTATTCTCTAGACTTGGGGTTTATGCTCAAATGGAAAGAAATCTGTACTTCATGAAAAACACTTCATCTCAAGCTAAGGTAGATATTTACTGTCACACAGTTAATTTAGGAAGAGATGACTCAGATACCCAGATGTCTCTGTAGCTCTGAAGTGACTGTAAAGGCAGTAGATTGGACTAAGTCATATATTGGTATTTATTTTGTATGCATCGAAGTAGTGCAGAGAGGTCTGCCATTACCAGCATTCATGCTGGGTCCAGCAAGACTGGATCTAGACTACAAGAGATACCCCCACACTCTTTGTAATTGTCAATTTGCATCTGTGTTTGGAACTACTGATAATCTCTATGTGTTACCTTCTACCCAACCTACATTAATGAGTCAACTGGAGTCCATAGCAAGATACTGAGCATACTCAGGCTAATTCCTTTCCAATTCCAGATCTGGAGCTAAAGATCCCTTGCAGGACGAGCTTCCCTGTTAATAGTATGGATGGTGGCAATCTAATTTGTCCTCCTTGTTTACTGAGAACATAACTTGTCACTTAACTGGCTCTGCAAAACCCTTCCTAGTTCTCAGTGGCTTTCTGCCAAGGAGTGTCCTCTCTGGGAGAGCTACCTGTTCCTCCCCAAGCTACTGCCCTCTTCAAATCTGCTGTGAGAATTAGTTACCATTTGGCACAGAATTTTACCCTAAGGTGTTAAAATGAATAAGGCAAAGGAAGGCACTATGACAGTAGTAGACCTGTACAGAGCTTTTAAAGATCTGAGCTTTACCTGTGTTCTGTGCCAGATAACAGATGCCCTGGAGTGTCCCAGCTTATTTCGACAAGGTCCTTTGTCGTAATGTATAAGGAGAAAATCATCCTACAAAATATTAAATGAAAATGTAAGTAATAAACAGAAGTACAAACTGTTCTTCGAGTTATAAAATAGTATTTCCTGAGAACTTATAACCAGGAATTGTACAGGAAGATAAAAGCTTAGTGAGGTGGATATGGCCAGGTCCAACCTTTCTAAAGTGCTTTGTTTACAGTTAAGTATCTTCAAAAAGAGGATTGTTCAGCAAGTGTTATATATCTATAATGCATTCTTCTCCCAAAGGCTCTCAACCTGCATATTTAAATGCTAGTATGGAATTTAGCAAGAGGATCCAAGAAGATAAGCTGTCCATTGCATATATTTTACACACATACAGAAAGAGCAAAGGAAAATGAATACTTGCACTGCAGACTTCCCGAACTTGGTTCCTTTTATTAGTTGAAGAATAAAAGGACAATACAGATCTTTGAGAAGTGACGTCCCTATCTGTCCTGCCATCCTTTGGCAAACCAGCTAAGACAGCAGGCCTAGTACCAAGGGAACACTACTTTTTAACTGAGCATGTAAGAAGCCTGTGACTTAAGGACTGTTAGTAAAGCATTCAAATGGGACAACCACAGGATCTGAATAGTCAGAGTAGCTTTCGGGAACCTAAACCATTTCCTTTGCTATTGTTAATAATGCTATAAAATAAAACAGATGACATGGAAACAGATGTTGTGTATTGTATATACTCTGATCCTTGGACACGATAACAGGCTGTTTTTAAAAAAACATAAACATATGACAGCAGCAGATTATAGACTAACAAATTCCTGGTGTTAGGAGAACATCGTATTCTTTTTCATAAGTCAGTTCTATTTCTTGTCCCACAGAATACAGTGAATGGTAAAGAAATCTGACTGCTAGACTCCTGCGTGGTGACACACCAAATCTAAAATTCATCTGATAAACTTCCACAGACTGAGTACAGTGCTCTATTCATCCTGTAACTCTTTCAAGAAGGGGAACATTGAAAAGTCAGTACTAAATGAAGTATTATTAAAAAAAAACAAAAACAAAACACCAACACCCCCCCCCATGTTAGTTACCATGTAAAGATTGCAAACAACATTTTCATAACATTTTACTTTATAATGATTGTTTCCTGGCTCACATAAGCAAAATGCCAAGATCACAAAGGTCAGACAAGTAAAACAGAGCATACAAATTACCAGCATCAGCTCTGGTGGGTCGCAGTCTACCAAGCTGGGCAGAAGCTACTGAGATACTATTTGATTAATGAGACAGCTGGATGGCAAAGCAATGAACTTCTAAGCTTCTGAGAATAAGAGTGCATGGCATGTACTCACATCAAGCGATTCCAGACAGTACCAGCAAAAGGCATGTTTGCAGTTCTTACACATCATTTGGGCACAGCCTTCATCTCGTTCAATGTAAACTTTACACTTTGGACAGCGTTTGATTGGAGCATCATCTTCTTCCATCTTAAAAACTGAACTGTGGGAGAGAGTGAGGAATTAATAAGATGTGTAGCCATGAAGAAGAGAAGAACTTCTAAGAAATATGCTAAGAAGATAAACCTACTTTTTATTTTTTAAAAAATAAGAAAGTAGTAGAGATCCAGGTATTTAACTGAGTTTTGTTATTCAGATATTTTGGCTATACTCTATTTTTCAAACATGTATCTAGAAAAAAGTGTTTAATGACTACAGTGCCTACGTAAGCATCAGGACATTTTCTCTACCAGATATTTTACCAACTGTTTTTGTTATCTAGTGATACTAATAGATATGATACAGTTTTCTCCTGGAATTAACCAGATGAGCAGCAGCTAGCTCACACCTAAATGCTTTGTATGTCTAGATCATTTTCCTTTTTCCTCCTTTCTTCTTTCTCAGAAAAGGAAGCAATCCTTTGATGGCACAAGCCCAGACCACATTCCTTTGGACCGTGGCACTAGGGAGAGATGGCTTGTCTCTGCCCTCCTTGAGAATCCTCCCTAGGAATATCCTTCCAAACCAGGAATCATGAGGTTTTTGGGGCATGCTGTTCTTTCAGAGTTGATGTCTTCATCTCTAACACTGTCCTAATCATGGTTCATGAGGTAGGGTCAGCACCGCCTCTTCTTGTCTTGCATCGCTGTGCAAAACCACGGGATGTCCCCTCATATAGTGGGCATAACACAGAGGAATGTGGAAACACTAGAAGAACATTTATTTCCCTTGAGTAGCTTTCCATTATATGCAGGCTTTATGCACACCAATAACTAAAATCTACCTTAACAAATGACACTTCCTGCAGTCCCTGCCACTGGGAGATACAAGAACGACTGACGGGGAATCAACAGTTTGCTGGAAAACAGGACTGACCCTTGACTGATTGATTGATTTGCCCAACAGCAGGATAAAAGGACATACACTCGTTAGTCACATTAGGGGCAATCATATTACAGAAAAATGCTTTGAATTCATAAACTGCATATGAAATTCCAAATGCATGGTAGCACAAGCTGCTACTAGCACATTTTGCTCCAAAGTAACGAAAAAACAAACCTCAATGGAGTAAAAAATGAAGCATGAAATAAAAACTAACACCAACCAAAGCATTAAGGAAAATAAATAAAGTTTTTTATCTTGCCATGAAGTTTAGTGAGCTTTGGTTCTGGTCAAGCACACACAAAAAGCACGTGCAAAAGTTACTACATTTGACCAGGAACTCATGACAGCATCCTAGCTAGTCATCTGTTACAGCAAAGCTTGAAAGAAGACAAGTTATGAATAGCTGAGTCCAAGGCTGGCTAGGGCTTTGATGACACCTTGGAACTACTATATAATCTTTAAAAAAGCCCAAACATTAAGTAGAACGCATGCACAACGGCCTTTCTTATTCACTGGCTGCAGTATGCCAATGGAAACAGCTTGAAGCAGAACTTAAGATCATTGGCCAAATGTGCAGCAGTTGGGATTACTGACAGGGTATTCTAAAAATCACTGTCTGGCATGATGTTATGAACCCTCACGCTGTCCAGAATAGCAGAGGCAACGAGATCTTTTCTGAAGGGAAGCTCATGAGCCGCCTGGATATCACATTTTCCCACTGGGACAAAAGGGTGGCTGATAGAGGCTCAAGCAGCTCCTTTGTGCTTTGCCAGGAATGGTGGCAAGGAGTGAGGCTGCCAAGAGCTGCCCAGTTTTGGAACACAGCATTAAAGGAACAGGAATGACTAAGTGAAGGAAAGAGCTTTAAAACAAAATATCAGGAAAATGCCTCTTTACTATTCATACTCTGGTTTGTTCAAAGATTGAGTGTTTTGTTTCTAAATACTTGATGTTTTGCAATACTTTACCTTGTTTCTCCTGGGAGAAAAGAGATTGGCATGTTCTCTTGACAGCCTTGACCTGGATGCCAATTAGATTTGCAAGCAGAGCAGAACTCAATGTCACAGGCTTTGCACTGGACCAGCTGGGGGTCCTGTGGGCTTGGTTCCTGGAGCTGGCAAACTGCCTGGCAAGTAGAGGATGGACACCAAGTCCGACACGGATCCAAAAGCACTTCTGTAAAGGGGCATAAAAGAAGAAAATTCAAAGGTGGTTACAAGACCGGCCTTCCATAACAATGTATTCCAGCTGAGGTTGACTGGCAGGGCATCTGAAGACACACACTTACAAAGAAGCCTTTTAATTTATGCTACCCTCTTAAGACATAAATCTGGCCTGCTTTGCAAACAGGCACCAAACTAAAGTGAGTTTCCCAAGTTTGAATTAATCGGCCACTTTCATTCACTGAACTAAACTTCTTCTGAGAATGAGATGTATTTTTTTTTCAGTTGTACTTGAAGTTAAATAGAGCATATACTACGCAGGTAAAACCCATCAGAAAGTGTTTTTACAGTGCCCTCCCAAGTAGGACTCTGTTTCAAGTTAGCCTCTGCCCTAATATCACCACGATTAACAATAGCATAAGAGTATTATACAGTTTCATCCCTTTCTTGGAGGCTGCTTACTAGTAAGTCATTTCATGTTTCAAAGACCACTGAAGTCAATAAAAACCTGCCAATGACTTCAGTGGTTTCTAGGCTGGGTCCTGCGCTCAGCAAAACCTTACTGTAAGTTCTCTATGGCCACACAGTTCCACAACCCCATAGGCACCCAGTCACCTTATATCCTCATAAAAATTAACAAGGTTCATGTTATCATTACAGACAGAACTGCCTAGTAATTCTGCACCAGATGCCATCACAGGAGACAATGGTGGCTCCATAAAAGGGGTCAGTCTACCTCCCCAGCCCCTAGAGTGCTGGCAGTCAACTCGAACAGCAAAGCTCAAAATAGAAGTCACTCCCTCCCTTAGTTATAGAGCATTATAATACATAGCAATTTTCTTTCCTTAGTTTATTCACAGAATGTTGCAATTCTGGGAATCACGCAGGCAAGAACAGAAACAATAGGGTTTTTTGTTTGGTTGGGTTTGGTTTTTTGGGTTGGGTTTTTTTTTTTTTTTTTTTGTGATGACCAAACAATTAATGCACGGTGCTACTGCATGAACATGTGTAGAGCCAGAGTCTGATTTATGGGATTGTCTGGAGTGATATTGTTCCCACAGCCTTGCAATGGGTAGTGTTACGTGTGTTACCTCTTTCAAACTGTAGCTTCTTATACCTTTGCATGATTTCTGATGCAACCATGCACTCAATCTGTTGAAGGAAGGAAAAGGAAAAGACAAATTTCCAGTTAGGAACAGCAATAATCTAAGGCATTTTCAACAAATGCAGACAAAATATTTGACCTTTAGAGAATTATTAAAAACGTATGTTGGCAACAATGGCAGCTGTAACATACACAGCAAGACACATTTAAACATGCTGGCAAGAAAAGAAAAAAAACCCCTATTTGCAGTAAAAGTGTACCTCATTTTCTTGCAGATGACCTCGCTTTGGGCAGGCAGCATCAGGGCAGCTGATTGCTGTTTCTAGACCTTCTTTGATCAAAAGTTCCACATACTGTTTTAGGCACTGTAGGAGAGCCAAAGACTGAGTTAACTATCCCACCAACAATAAACCACTCAGTATTTTAACAGCTTTCCTCTGAAAATCTGAAGAACTCAAACTTCTTTGAAAAAACAGATACTACTGTGTCCCTTTTACAACCATGGGCCATGCCCACAGCTTCTGCCACAGTTATACCTTCAAACAGAAAACAGTTAATTTCCCCATCAAATAACTCTTCCTCAATTTAAAATATTCAGGAAATTAAAAAATAACAATAATGGGGAAAAGGACAAATCAAACAGGGAGCTAGGAGGGGAGAAAAATAATAAAACACCACCAAGATAAAATTAGATTAACCACACTCCAAAAATCCTTGTGTGAGTGGAAACCACAACACAGCTTAGTAAGCAGTAACCACCCATAGACAGACATCTGTCAAGCCTACCAGAGAGCAAAAGGGAGTGGTGTATCTTGCCTTCTATTTCTAGAAAATAACTATCTGAACTTCATGGTTAAAGATATATCTTTTCCATAGGAAGAAAAATGTGAGAATTAGGACTCCCAGAAGAACTACAGTTTCCATGGGGACCGAATAATAAATATTGGTAATACTAATACTTTTCTCCCCTAGCAACCGCAGCATTTTACCCAAGTCATAACTGAAAACGTGGCATCTAACACAGTAGTGCACAGCACGACCGTCAACGAAACAGAGGAGAAAGGTGGATATTTTAGACTAAGGGCCAATTAAGACCAAACCTTGTTATTCTTGAAGAGTAACCACCCCCCTCCACTTCCACACTTCCCAGATCAAGGTGAGAGCTACCGCATAGGTGTCTGCTGGGGAGGCAAGGGGAGCGATGGAGAGAGAGATATCCTTCTCTCTGCAGATACCATGGAATTTCTACCAGCCTGACACTACACAGAAAGGGCAAACGAGGGTCTGCTTTCCAGCGGATGGGTCACCCTGTGGTGTTCTCACCCTGCGTGTGAGCTCAGCTGGCTGTGGCAAACTGGAAGACAATTACAGAAGTACATTCCTAACTCTCTGTAACTAGATATGTGAATAAAGACCAAAAGCAGAGTGAAATGGAGATACAAAACAAGCTTAGCATACAGCCGGGTGGGAGGCGAGAAGGATTACACACTCTGCAGCAAGCTGGCAAAACAGGGACTTCAAGTACTATTTCCAGACAGAACTTGCAAAAGGTATGCAGCCACCGGCTCGCCATCAGCCTGGGAAGGCAAAGGGCTGCATTGACCTTGCCAAGTCCAGTGTGCCTAACTGCGGGACAGAGCACAAAGCCGCTCCTTCCTTCCAACCACGCCATCAAACAGGCCCATCAACGAGCACATTTGCTGCCTAACCCTTTGCATGTGGCTTGTAGCTGCTAAGGTCTAGACTTTGGGTCTACTCATTCAGCCTCCTCTCTTTCTGTTCTGCCTCTCAATATGTCTGTTCTGCTCCTTTCAGAGACCCTATCACCTATATTAACATAGTATTTTAGATTTTACCGTTCACAGTTTGATTGCAGCAAAAACTTCACTTCCTGCCCACATAATTTCTGCTGCTCTGGTACACAGCTTTTCTGGCAGCCGCATGCCACCACCTTGATAGCACAACATATCATTTCTGTCAGATTCCCCTTCCCTGTGTCTCCTACTCAACAGAGATAACAAGTCTATTTTTTGGAAAAGAAAAACAGAGACTGGATAATTGGTATCTTTAAAAGTTTTACATGTGTAAAAAATCCATGTGTGATCAATTATGGTCTATGTTTTCCTCTTTATCAGTAGGGATTTAATGAAGACAATTGTTCACTTAGTAGATGGTTTGACTTGCAGAAGGTTTCCAAGCCGTCGCTTAGAGTTCTGCAGGGCAGGTGGTGGAGCAGTTCAAGAAAACCACTAGCAGCAACGACAGCAGGCTGAGCTCCACAAGAACCAGGTCCTAGGTTGTGTGCCTTGGCAAACTGCGATTTCAGCTGTAGGGAGGTATTAGTGTTGCCATAATGACACTGTTGGCTCTTCCCTTTCCCCTCCATTTGCAGACGCCAAGTGTGGATTAAAATGAAAATGCATACATTTTTAATGCCAGCACTTAGCACTTATAGAAAGTACTTTTCAAGCTGAATGAGCTTTGCCATCATTAATCATTAATGTGGTTAATTCTCTTCCTCAACCTGTTTGGGACCATTGCCAAAGCCCATTTGATTTGTTTCCTTTTCCTCACATCTTCCAAGGAATAACACAGTTCATTCCTGCCACGAGCAGTGTCCAAGGCTTTCCCCCTCCTCTGATGTAGCACTGGCCCCTACCTCCTCAAAACCAGCCCAGCCAAAGTGCACTTCTTATGCTACATCCTTCTGGGAACACAGATGCTGTCTCGAGGCCATGAAATATCACTGTAAATTAGGCAGAGGATAAAACACTCTGTCCACTCAAGACTTCCTCACTCCAGAGATTCGCTGGGTGGAGAAAGAGTAACCTAAAGTGGTTGCAAGAGAATTTGAAGCACATGGTAGCTGTGGCTTCTTTTGAGAGCAGACACGAGATGTGCCACTTGTGTCAGAAAATTTTAAACTGGCTACAGTACTGGAAATGCACCAGCATGCAAGCAAAACAACACAGTAGAATGAGGTACTCAGTTATATACTATGAAAAATTCATTACAAGACAACTACAAAAAGATGACAACTAAACTGTTGCTCATTTTCTATGCAGCTTGTAGTTGATCCCATGCTGGAAGAAAATATCTTCATAGCCTTTCCATTAAGGCAATAAAGTACTGTATAGGATGAACAAATAATGTGGGAGTGTAAGTCACCCCAAACAACTTTCGAAAAGAACTGTATTACATAATTTTTCTCAGAGGAAACAGGAGCTGAAATTAGGTACCTAAGGGCTGAGGTAGGAATAAGGTCCCAAGATACCCTTCTTGTTGTACATTGACCCTTACAAAATCCATACGCTGAGGAGCAGCTTTATTCTTCCTTGACATGTGTCAATGGAAAGCTACTTTTATTTGAAGCAATACTTTTGCTAAATTCAACTTGTTTCTTTCTTTAAAAAAAATTCATTGTATTTAAATAATTAATCGTATTTAAGAAATTGAATAACTAATTATTATTTAAGTCACACTTGGAGTTACTCTAAACCTATCAAAAACTGATGGCGGTTATTCTGTACATTTCTGCTTATGTATATAGTTTGACATGATAAAACCAGGCTAAGACTTGGCATTTCATAAAAAATAACCCTTTACTGAATTAAATAGGTCATAAGAGGAAACGTTTCCTTTGCATTCAGTTTTGTACTTCATTTCTGTACTCTGACAATCTTCACCTGGAACAGTGAAGACCTGCCTAGCCAGCAAGAAGAGAGGACCAAGTGTGTAAGTTTTTAGTCATTAGTCCAGCTATAGTAACAAACCATGTGTGTGCTCCTCTACTCCTTTCCCAATCCAGAACTAAAACATGCCAGTTTATAACAATTGTTAGGCAAGCTACTCTGTTTTACAATGCAGTTGCAACAAGTGAACAGGCAATTGTAGTAGCCTAAATTTCTGTCTAGCATGCATGGTCTCAGCATACCAAATGACTCGGGAAAGGAAAAGAACAATTATTATATGATGGACACTACTAGGACACTACTAAGGTTGTGTTCCTTAACTATGCAGATCTATACCTTAACATTCATTTTACAACTTCCTATATTTTTAAATTAAAACGAGATTGTAATATACTATTCATATATGAATATTTTATATATATACACACCATATATATATATACACCATATATGAATATTATTTATGAATATTATGAATCACTCAGACTGACCTCCCAGGGAAACACACAGCTGTCCAGGTCTCTGGCTGCAGGGAGTGCCACCAGCTTGCTCTGGGAATAGATGTCAGTGGAGCAAACAGCTGTGTGTGCTGTGACCAAGTGGATTATCTACTTGGCTTGGCGGCAGAGCTACGCGAGGAAGTAGACCACCTCATCAGGGAGGCTGAGCAAGAGAGAGAATGGTGGAACCACGCTCTGAGCTCCCGGAAACCTGACCAGGGACAGCCTCCAGAGAAAGCCTGTGACCAAAGGGAGCCAGTATCCTCCCCGCACCAAGATGCAGACAGGGTCTTAGAGGGAAGCGGCGAGTGGAAACAAGTCCACAATTGGGGCGGCAAGCGAACCCTTTCCTTGCCCACCGTGACCCCCAGGTGCCTCTGCACAATAGGTATGAGGCTCTAGATGTGGAGGACCAGTCAGTGGACGATGTGGGCGTTGATCCATCTACACCCGAAGAGTTGCCAAGACCTCAAAGACCTACCCCCCATATTACTACCACCTCAACAACGGTCCAATATGCTGGGTGGACCCTCCTCATAGTGAAGTCTGCTGCCTCCCAGGACCCCAGGTCAGAGAGACTTCCCAGCCTGGTACGGCCCTTGGACTACTACCCCTTACTGCTCTTCCACGTGGGTGGTGATAAAGTTGCAGTGCACAGCCCAAGGGTGATTAAAAGAGACTTCAGGCCTTGGGATGCTTAGTGAGGGAATTGGGGGCACAGGTCATCTTTTCCTCCCTCTTTCCAGTTGTGGGAGGTGACATTGGTAGGAACAAGCGGATCCAATCTCTTAACACATGGTTCCGAGGATGGGGGC